CTAAGCCTTCATTATGGAGTCATTTACGTGTTGGTAACAATCACTCGCCCGTTCCTGTTTGTACTTCGACTCATCAGAAAATGCTTCATGTGGGTAAACTTTCTGGCAAGTGTGTACCTCTGAACGGGCGTAGTCCTGGGCTATGTACTCGTCTGACTTGCCCAGTAAAGTAAGCACCATAGCCGTCACGAGACCAGTCCGATCTTTGCCGTGAGCGCAGCATATCAGTGCGGGGAGATTCTCCGGGTCGGTCAGCGTGTGTAGAACTGTTGAAAGTCACAGGGAACAAGATTTAGCCTCCGCCAGTGACGTTGTGATCGAAAGCAGATCGAAAGTCAGGCCCCCATCGCTGTTACTGTAAACATTCGGGTTTGTTCCAAATTTCGCCCAACGTTTCACCGAAATTGTGAGCCTTTTTTACGCGAGGAAAAATTGAAACTTAAAGTCCAATATGTATGGCGTCAATCGGTGGGGGCGGGGGACATGTCCCTCGTACTTTCAAGTGGGCGATACTATATGCATTTCCCCACCCTCCCCCGTTTTTTTCCCGAATTAAACCTAAATGTAAAACCAAGAAGAACAATTTCTTGAAAATTAAACAAATGTTGCAAAAGCATTTGTTAAAATAATGGCTGAAGTTGCCAGAAAATGTCTCCGATCACACCGGCCACAGAGCATCAGTTTTCTATTTTCCAAAATTTTCCCAGGCCCTTGAGCGGGCCTCTGACCCCGCGCCACTCGGGGCTTCGCACTTCGTGCTCGCATTTGTTCTGCCAAGGGCTATGCGCCCCCTCTTTCAAAACAGATTGACGTCCTTGCCAATAGTTGACTGCATTTTCGACACCCTAAAATTGCATGTGATTCGTTGTCTGAAAATCTGAGTGGTAGGGTGCGTCTGATGTTAAGACGAATAATTGGCTGAGGACACTACATCTAAATCACTGACACAAAATTGCCGGTGTAATGCGGGTTTTTTTGGGGGGGGGGGTAGAACTCCGGACGTCAGAGGTTTTAGGGATCCAGTGGGGTGGTTGCTTGCGTGTGCAATACAGCAACGCGTTTTTTGCAGCTTTTCTTAAAGTCAATTAACTAGGAAAAGTTGCAAAGAAACTCATTCTTATCGCAATGAATTCTCTCAGTGTTTTGAGTTTGTAGAATGTTGACAAAAATCCATGCCAAAAGATAGGTTTTGGGTGTGTTCAGTAATTGCTGAACGGGGCCGAGGTCTCCTGGCCCAGCAGCCACTGTGGTCAAGTGGCAGAGAGGGACGTGTATAAATCTGCATCTCTCACGAAATTTACTAGCNTGCCACCTTGTACAAAATGAGAACACATTGGAAACAATCCAAGCACAAGTTCCAGATGGCCATTACCACGGAGCGCCAGGCACGCACGTAAACTTCAGGACTGTGCATTGAGGCAAGTAAACACCGTCGTACTGGTCGAAGGGGCAGTCAACGTGCGCCAACATATTGCCCATGCGCGTGATGCAACCGCCTTAATGTTGTGGTCAATTACAGCTGCATGGTGTGCAATGCTCGTTGCAAACTGTGATGCCATAGGTCTACTTACTGAAGCACAACTGTCTGCCTCCGTGTTCCAGTATACTGACGTACCTCCCCACCAAACCAATGCTACTGATCTCCTTGGAGAAGCAACGGACGAAATATTTGTAGTGGTTACCCAGGATGACGTCTACGATGAGCACCACCAGAGACAACAGGCGCCTGAGTAGAGACACCGAGTTGAACACAGCGAGGATCATGGGCTTAGGAAACATGTTGATGAGGTATCGCCTTGGCTTCGTCATGGGTAGCCCGTCTGAAAGAGGAAAATGAAACACAGTGAAGCTGCATTGGTGGAAAAAAAGCAACACCAAAGGAAACTCGTGAAATTCACCAGCTGGTTACACGCCCATTAGCAGCTTGTGTGTTTATGGCATTTATATTAAACGGAACCCGTATTGCTTATTAATTTGGTGGTCACGTGCGTGTTATTATCTGCGATTTAAAGTTTAGTGTAGTTGGACGAATCTTTTCAAATTGCAGTTACACTCAAGAAACATAAACATACACTGAGATACGCGGAATTATGATGATGGGAAAAAATCATGCTTAGACTTCGAATTTAGCCCTGAAACTACATTAGATTTAAAAAACAAAATATGAAAAGAACTGGCATTCACATCCACCGTTGCTTGGAGCAGAGTGGCGGTTTCAAACAGGTCCAATCTGATTGATTCAGAAATCAGGTCAGGCGGTCCATGTTTCCCTATAACTCACCAAGCTGCAGGGATTTTACATTAATACCCTTCATTGGGATGGAGTCAGTGGTGGGGTAAGGCGTCACATCGGCATTTGGTAAGACTGGCTCCAGGACCTGCACGTGGTCGTCGATAGGCTTCTTTCTGTGACCCAGGCTATTGTGGTACTCGATTCCAGTGCGGAGATCGAGGTAGGTACGGATGCCTAGGTTGTGTAAATGCTGGATGTCGGCCGGCGAGGCGGCATCCTGCCTGGCAGACCGGTAGAGATGCCCGTGATCATCCACGCGCCTGAAGTTGAAGATGCGATCTAACTTCACTTGCTCTTCGGCTGTCTTCGTTTTCCGAGAAGTCGTAGCCGACATTGTGGATCCTGTTTGTGTTTAATTGCCATGCAATTATTCAATAAAACACTGAGCGTTATGTAACCAAAAACAAGCTTCCCGCGCAGTTCCCACGTATGGTGCACGGAAAACTTACGTCGGCATTGCTGAGCACATTGGGCACAACAGAAATAATAGAGCACTTCAGGTCTATGGTTTTCGTGTAAGGTTCAATTGGTTGATAAGCTTGATTCCGACCCCAATGTCGATGAGGTGTTGATAACCCGCGCGATTTTTGTGGGAAAGACTTTGACCTTTAAAAAACTGTTTACCCAATACATATATAGCTGTACACCCATTTTCCTTTATTACATGAAGTTTTGCTTTTATCCTTATCCGCAAGGAGTTTTGCTCCTTTTTTAGCGTTCTTTGCCGTCTTGATCTAATTTACATGCAAAACCACTGCAACATTCGGCAACATTCCATGCACCAAAAGCACCACGAAATGTGAACTGATGTCAATGATGGACCGGTGGTATATCGACCACTTTCAACTTGTTTTGCTCCCGGCATGCATGGTGTTTGGATTGATCCGATTAGACGTCGAGGCACTCACACGCACATTCCTCAGCTTGACGCGCGTGCGCACATTTGGCAAGTCACAATAGCCTATTGGTCGAAGAAGAATGTAACGCGCGCGTACCACCTGTCCACGAGCGTTGTACCACCACAGTTATGGCTTCTAATTCCGGGTGCCCAATGACACTGTACCCCACACAGGTTTACGGTCACATTAGGTATGTTAAGTCTGGCGCGGGCGAGAAAATTTTACCGTGTTCAGACTTTTTGGTTTCATAATCACCCCAACATTGACCAGTGTCGTAATCTTCACAACCGTATAAGGTACAGCTCCTATCATTTTTCTCGATATAAGTTTGCACACAAGCTGTTTCCCGTATATTATAATTCAATTCAGGATGTCTCTTCAAAAGCCAAGCACTCTTGACCCGAACCAGAACTGGATATTGCCAACACTGACAAGGGGTGAAACGCCCTTTTGTTTTGACCGCTTTAGTGGGACAAGAGTAAGTGGTCGTTCTCAGATTTGTCAACTGTCAGCAGGGTAAAGTCTATACATGGCTATCGACTCATGATCAGTATCTATGGGAAGCGTCAATGTGAAGACAACACGGGCATCACCTATGAATATGATATGCAATGTATGCAACAGGACACAACGGGCAAACCTTTTCTATGGCTAGGCAGTTCAAGTCTGAGCGTTTCCTTCCACCGTATTCAAATGTGGTACTGCTTGGTAATGCTTGGGGCATACACACTCCACAACTCAACTACCGAGGACCCTGTCTTGTGTTTCTTGAACTTTCTGTACGATTTTGTTTCACAGAAATCCGTCTGATGAATTGACTCTCTTCGCATAACTCCTGTATACTTCCAACTGTTACCAGCCAACCCGCTCACACACAATACCACTCGGATGTTCTTCCCAATGTTGAAATGATGAGGTTCACCACGGGATATTATTACACACTTTCACAGTTTGCAACAAACCATTTTACAATATATTCTGGAACTCTTGTACAACCATTTTGAATTTACATTGAAACCCTTTAGTACAAATGCTTAACATTCAAATGTTATGTATCATTTCTTATGTGGCCCGGCTCCTGAAAAAATTGAGGAAAAAACTACAAAAAAGACATCAAGGTACAAACCTATGCCACCCGTGGTTGCATTTTGTTGGAGGCATCATCAAACATTAACAATTGATTCCATTCATTGCTAACCCTGTCTTCTTACCATCCTGTTATCTCACAATGCAATGTTTACCGGACACACAAAACCTTCCTGAATACTTATATATATTTACAAAAATTGTCATTTCAATTTCACACACACATTGTACAGCAGAAAAAAACTAAGTTTTGGTAAATACCTACATGTTTAAGTCAGTCAATGCAATTTCAACACAAAGAATACTTCATTATGACAATAGCGGGGATTCATTTTGTTTTCATGCAGGGACAGCCGAAATCACTGAACCCTGTACACATCACTGAACCCTGACCCCCCCAAATAAAACCCACCAGGGCCCCGCCCACCCCACTCAATCTATGACACTGGTATGCAGTGACTCCTATCACACAATGAAAGCCGATGGGAACCAGCGAAGAGCAGCTCCCATTGGCTACTGCTCCTTCCTTTCAGAGCACATACAGTATGACTTTGACAGGTAACCAGTTTGTGGCTGACAGCAATAGACAATGCTAATGTGAATTAGCCACAGCCGCTAGCTTTAAGACAAGTGCCCTTCATTATCCAGCTCCTGCTAAGACTTCCAATTGTAGTCTATGATAAGACATTCAGTACTCATTGTGGCTGCCTCTAAATGGTCTAGCTGTGGCTAGGTGCTACATGAATCTATGTAGGCTACTGTGGCTTCTGAATAATGTTGCATGTGAATGACTAGACAGTGTAAGAGAACCAGCCAAGTACATGTATGGCCCTTATTTAGACTTTTGACCTGATGGGATGTGACTACTCTGCTTAGTCTCTAGTCTCAGGCTCTACCTGATAATCAACCCCCAGAGCTTTAAGCTGAAAGGTTTTTAAAATGATAGGTCAATGCTGCTGACAAAACTTAAACTACATGCCAGCAATGCAAGTACTCGAGTATTTCTGTTGAATTCAAACATGAGAAGGTACTGGTTTCAACGACAAAGCCCGAGACGAAGACAAGGCTGAGCAGTGGAAATCCCCCTCAAGTGGCTTTTAATGTCCTGGATGAGAATTTAGGTACACTGAGCTTTCAATTGTCAAGCAGGGACAAACCAGGGTTTGATGGGACAATCATTACAAAACATGAGGATGAATCCTATCAGAATGCAAACTGTCCGGCTGGCTCATTCATGTCTTTCTGCAGGTTGCTTTTGTCCTTAAGCCTGGCCTGAAGCAAGGAATGCTCCACCACACCGATCCGCACATCCATCTGGGTGTTTTCTGTCTTCAGACGTTGCAAGGCTTGCTTGATTTTAACTAAGGGTGCTGTGGAAAAAAACAGCGGCAAACAGATCCAATTCGATCATTCATGTCATACCATCCTTACAAACCCAGTCTCAACGATATTTACTTCACAGGAGAAATTTCCAAGGTGTACTTATCTGTCACAAGTCGAAATGTTTCAAACAATGGTCAAAATTTCAACCCAGGAAAGTATTTCTTGTTCAAATGGGTGATTAGACAAATGCTCTTTACACACAAATTTTTAAGTTTAAGAAAAAGGAAAGATCCCACGATGATGCAAGTGTCAAGGTGAGCGATGTCTTTCCACTTACATCCGTCCGTCATACTGGAACCTCTCTCCTCCATTTCTTGCTTGACTTTCTCAAGTTCCTCAGTAATCTCAGCTAGAGTCCGTGTCCGCTCCGTCACACCCCCACTGGCCTGACGATACTGCTCCTTCATCTGTTGAAAGTAATGTAGGATTTCAGCAAACATGGCTGAGTGTCTAAAAAGCGAAATGCCAATAAATCAAGGGCAAAGGCAACATCGAAATCCACTAGCAGCTCACTCCATCAACGGCTCGTTTGATCGATGGCTCACTTGAACAATCAAGCAATTAATCAAGGGTGTAATGGAGCATAAGACATCAACTGAGCTGTCTAGCAACAGCAAGAAGGTGAATGAAGATGTCAAGAATGTTGTCTTGATTTCTTACCACAGGCGCTTGTTTTTAATAAAAATAACCAAACTAAAATAAAGCGGCGTCTGAATTATGTGGGATTTGGCTAGAGATAATACATGGCCTTAAGGAAGCCTCGGAAGCTAGCGACTTCAGCTATTCTGCACAGGTTCATGTATTAATCGAAGCCATAGCCATGGCTGACCTCGGCTGAGTTGTCCTGCATGCCTCGGTATTCCTGTAGCAGGTGTTCTAACTGATTATTGATGTACTTCTCACGGCTGGTGATCTTTTCCAAAGTCCGACTGATCTCCTTGTGCAGCTTGTCCAGGTAGCCCTAAGGAAAACAAAAACAAACAAAACACAAAACACTTTCAATAGAGCGATCCAGTAAGCCACGCAGACTTGGCACATGTATTTTTCTCTGCCGCACATGTCATACACACGTCAGACTCTCATTTATTTCAACCACATCCAACAGCGACCAAATCGCCAATTACAGGATGGTACATGTCGGACATAAATCACGGCTGTGATTGATCAGAGCACATTTTTACAATGGATCGGTCTACCTCCTTCATATAATCCATTCCAATATTTGATTTTTCCTTCTTGGGAACCTACTTTGCCAATTAACAGGTTGGCCCAAAGCTTTGACCAGTCAGTCCACCTGCTTAATTGAGTGAATGCAAGTTCTCTATAAACATTTGCTTCTTCATGTGGGTATTTACATCAGTTTCTTCCAGCTGATGTACACTTTTCGAAACTTCCAATATTACTAAAAAAAGTAAAATGCATAAATACACAATAAAATCATAGGTATGCCTTGTGCATGAAAGGGCAATGTTTAGTTGATCTATACAGACAATGAGTTGTTTCACAGCCGTTTTGGCGGTGTGTATACCAACCGTATCTGCTATAGCAGGGATTCTTGAAATCACAGTAAGCCACTGTGAGCCAGTTCGCTTTTCAACAGCGCATGCCCAGTACAAGGCTATTTGGGAACAGCTGTGCGCACACGTGTCTGTCAGCCATACACTGACTCATGCGCGAGCTTTGTTGCCGAGAGACCTTGGGTTTTTTAAATACTGAACTGGCTCATCAGACGCATCCATTTTGTAGCTCCAGTAGAATCATAAACTAAGTTTTCTTGGTTTCTTCAAAGAGATGCTTATGCAAGTTTACCTTTGTATCGGTCAGTGCAGACTGTATGCCGTCCCTGTGTTGATGCATCTGGTCAACGTGTGTTCTCCAATCTTTGTTGTCAGTCCGAATGTGGACCTTCAAAGATGGCACGACTCTCTCTACTTCCAGCTTCCATTCGCTGGCGTCCGTCGTTGATTCCATGATCTCCTCAATACGAGACGTCTCTCCTGTGTCCTACGAAAATGCAAGCCACATGAAGTGCTTGATATGCCTTTTCGACACACAGGCTGAAATTCTAGCAAAGCAAATATAAACATACTTTTTTTCTGTACCTTTGTTTTCAGATTTCTCAGTCCCTCAAGATCCAAGAAACTTTCTTCTTCTTCCAGATCTTCATCGATGTCCTGTCAGGAGGAATGTGAATAATTTATTTAACCTAAGGCAGCCGATGCCTCAAACAACTTGACAGCAGGTCAGGTCAATCCCCTGGTTGTCCAAGTTCTTTGCCATAATTTGAACAGATAGAGAGAGGCTGTCACCATCACATGTGATAGGTCACGATTCTTTACCTTGTCTAATTATGGAAATAGTACATGTATGTTGCAACATACATCAGAAAATGTAACAAGGAAGATGCTCCATGTATGTGGGATATAAAAGTTAACTTTACCAAGATGTGACAGATTTAGGTTTGCTACCTTGTTTGATTGTAAAAGGTGGTCATATAGTTAAGGGAATATACAGGAAAATATATTGGTGGATATAACGACTATCTCCCTGACCGCCATCTCCTCCTCTGCTTTGTCCAAGGTGACTTCTACATCATCTTCAATAGCTGATTCCTCTTCCATCTCTTCCTCAGGATAAATTGGCCTGAAAGAAAGTAGAATTTATGATGGCAAAAAGACAGGATTGTTTGGAATGAAAGCTGAGGTGTTCATTACAAACAATCATGTCTTTTCGTTTGATGTTCCAAATGCCAGATCTAATCACTGTCTCATTTAGCCACCTGTCCACTTCTGAGGATAGCAAAAACAGATTTGGACAGGCAGTCTTTGCTTGTTCACAAGTTACAAGCCGCCAGTTTATATAAATCTTTACCAAAGGTGAACACATACCTACAGTTTCTCCCCAAATACTGGATGCAATGGACATATGTCCTTAGACAGCACATAGGGGAGTCTATTTCAGAAGTTTTCCTAGGAGAAAGTAGGCACTTCAATGGGGAGGGGCTGACTGATATTGCAATCCTTGATTAATCCTTGTACCCAATTACCCCTGATAACACTAATGGCAAAGTCATCATGTATACAAGTCTGTACCAGGTGGAGTACATGTAGTTAAAATCAGGATTTGAAATAAGAGAAATTTAGTGTCTGTCTGAAAAAGTAATCAAAAAGGTACAATATACACGTACAGGTATGTCAATAACGGAAGCTAGACTGTCAAACTGTGGCATTCTAATCCATCAATTTTGTTGGGAATAGAAACTAAACCATAAAATTAACCCTCTTTTTCGGAGTTGGGCAGATAATGTAGATTTAAGTAGTTTGTGTCTCCTTACCTGCCCCATTTGAAGCTTGTCTGTCGCAGTGCCTGATCTGCCAGTTTGTCAATGACATAGATGCAGTGTTCTCCCCATCCAGCCTTCAGCTTGGCTGGTGGAAAGTCCACGGCAGCTCCAATGCGACGCACCTCATCCAAAATGCTGGAGATGGTTGCATTGGGGTCATCATACTAAGGAGAGAAAAAATACTTGCTATTACTGCCATTATGACTGTTGATGACACTGAAGTTTGTTTTTTGAAATGAAAGGCATGTTTTGGAAAAAACTGTTTTGGGAAAAAAGCTTTACAGTTCTGAATAAATTAAAAAAGAAAACAAAACAGGTTCATAAAAAAGGCAGACATTGGATGTTTCAGATTAATGAAATTTTTGAGAAAGTAACGAGAATTGTGGCTACATTCACAGCACACCTCATCTATGTTGTAGTCGAGTCCACAAATCCATCACAAGCCAATGGACACAGAAGCTACATGTAACCATGGTAACTGAGCTGTGACAAACCCCCATCCTCTTCAATATTCAACCTGTTACTTGGAACAGAACTATTCACTGGAGTTGTGATTTCCAACAGATGAACCACATACACAACGGTGTAGCACTACTCTACATGCAATCTGCTTTTCAGTTGATATTGTTGTTATCAGAGCTTTTAAATCAGTGCCACTATTTGCACCAACTTTTTTGTTGTAAACTGAGCCAAAGTAAGCCTACTCAGAGTCATTCAGAGTCATCTTATATCCAGCTTCCATGGTACCAAACAGCTGAGGAATATGTCAATTGTCAATTGCATGCCAGTCCGTCACAGGTTACTCCCCAGCTGATGCCAATACCCAAGGGTTAAGTGGCTTGGCCCTCTGGTCAGCGGTCACAATTTTAATTACCCAGCCACCTGCATCTCCCTGCATTTGAGACCTGTGCAAGATTTTAGTCTTCATTCCCGAGCAGATTATATGACGTGTATCAGGACATTAGATGGCTTGCTAATGGCCACAACTTATGACAGCTGGATTCCAACCTCTGGCCCTCAGGTCAGAGTCACATACTTTAGTGACTCGGCCACTTACAACCCCCCTTAAAACCTGTGCAAGTTTTTAGTCTTCATTTCCGAGTAGATTATATAACGTGTGTCAGGTCCTCAGAACTACAAAAGGTCTAACAAAAAGACTCCTGGCTTCACACAAGCTGCAGTTTGTGCTGGACATCATCTCTTTCCAAGAAAACTTTACGGAGAGAATCACAAATCCTTCAACTTACCTCCTGAGGTTGGTCAAATTGTTTGCCTGCTTGGTTGATGAGCCACGCTGATAAGGATGTGAAGATGTAGAACTGCTCTCCAGGATTGGTGGGCAGAGCAAAGTAATGCCTGGGGGCAATAGGAAGGCACATAAATTTAGGAAACTAAATAATCCACAACAAAACAAAGCCCGACAATTCAATGAAGCTGTGATCTATATATACCTTGGAAGAGATAAAATGCAATCAAGATGGAAGATTGTTGCCCAATATCTGTATCAGTTCCCGAAATGTACTATCATACTGATATCAACTTCCTTCTTGCAACTGCTTGGAATTTTACACTCCAAGAGACAAGCTGCCTCACCCTTAAAACCCACATTGTACCTTCTCTTACAAGACAAAAGTTGCAGGTAAAATCGTGATTTAAACTGGATTTAAACAACCTAACTTTCTTTTACAGCCTGTTTGATCTTGGTGTCCATGTACACGCAATCTCCAGTAAAATAAATGGCAAATAATTCAATATAGCACTTATCTTGGAAAAAACTTCACTGCTGACAGTCTAGATGTTCTGCCAATATACGTGTACATGATATATAGGAGGTTTGCATGGAAGCCATTTTGCAGGGCAGTTTGTTTGTTCCACAATGAAACCTCCTTTGTGCATACACTCTGCAATTTACCTTGATAGTGGCTTGAAGCCAAGGCCTTTCAGAAAGCCTTCTTCATAATCCATCAACTTCAGCTTGTCCATCAGATCCTCCATGATGACAAAGTGCATGTAATTCTGACCAGGCCCTTGCTCCCCCTCCCCCTCGGCTCCGCCCCTCCGTGTCTCCTCTGCCATTGCCACTGGTTGACACAGCTGTCAGTCACTGTCCGCGTCTCTTCAGTGTCACAGGCTAATGACAGCCTTATACAATGTGTATCAAAGCCAGAATTTGTTTTGCTCAAGAGAACTGTAAGTGCCAAATGCAAACCACTGTCACTTCCTTGAGGTAAAGTTGCCACTTTCTCCAAACAAAACAGCACCTACATGAATCCTGGTGCTTAATGTTGAATCGCCAGTGTTCGTGAGGACTGGCATTCCATCTCTGTCAGTTCTGTCAACCACAAAAGTAAAACAGAAAGCTTGTTGGATAATTGAGCAGCAGGTAGAATTTCAAGTGAATATTGTACATTTTCAGTTGCAATTGCCGTGTGCCTTCCCTCCTGTATGTGTACATTGTACCATACATGAAAAGCATTCACTTACAAAAAAGGGAATGAAAAGCTAACTGAAATATTGAATAGGCCTGCACTGGATTTTGCTGATGACAGGATGAAATGGTACATTTTGTTCCATGTACACTGTACATGTTCTTTACCTTTTTTTACTTGCGGCAAAAAGTTACAAATTGAAGAAGGAAGGGTCATTCCAAGTCGGGTCATTCCAGTTTCTAGGTTAATGTCCATGTCAGGTCTAAGTACAATTGACTGCTGTGATTACACACGCTTCAACTGTACATCTAGATGTAAGCCTGGATGCCCATTCAATTTGCAGTAAAGTATAAACCTGTTGCGTGTAGCCTGTAAGCCTTATCACTAGTAGGGCTCAATTGCCCAAGGCCATAAAAAAGTAGATTTGCATCCACTGCCCGCAAGTCCCATCGCCATCACACCTAAAAAAATCATTTTGAACAAATATTTCATTATTTGTTTAAGAACAACAAACTCACAAAAATCAGAATTCTGAATCTTACAGCAGCTGTATAAAACACCATATTTATTCATTTCATCGATACTAATCCCTGCATGGGTAGCTAGACACGCTAGAGAGGCACTATGGGCAGAAAAAAATGGGGCAATGTTCAGATATTTGCTCCTTCTCGCAATGCCTTTTTACCATAGTGTAAAAATCACCCATGCGGTGTTAGCAATAAGGCTTATGCCTCAGAATACATTTAACATTAGGCCTAATTAACACTGCAATATGACCTGCATCAGGTGCATGACCTGGTGTGTTGGACTTTGATGACATTGTCACAGTTGTCATCAATGTTGATTGTAAACTTGAAAAAGCCATGATCCACTTGAATATTTGACACTTAAAAGCAGCTGATGAGATCATCGAAATACAAAACATACCACTTTAACAATTTAATCGTGATCTTCAGCAAAAGGAACTAAACAACAACACTAACTTGAACAGTCCAGGTGGTTTTTAATGGTCAGAAATTAAAACAGCGTCGATTGCTAAGGCCACGCAAAACTATTCGGCATTTAGAAGTGTTCCCTGTTTCTTGGCCCACAATACATGTAAAGTGCCTCATTGCGGTGGGTATCAGACTAGGAATTCTTCAACCTCGTTTTAGGAATAGCAAAAATCGTGACTGTAATAAAGAGCTCTGGGTACAAAATGAAACTGAATTATTCATATTTAAGGTGAAAGGTTACAGATAGTGCGCGCACATAGTACATAGAAGACGCGCATGTTAAATGCACGATCACATCTGAGAGTCACATGTGACCCGTTATACTGGGCAAAATCAGCGTTGGAAAGTGTTTCCTTGAAGTGATACCATGGCAAGTGACGAAGTAAACGAAGTGAAGAAGGATGTGGAGTCCAGCGGCGAAGCAGAGAGTGTTGACACCAGCAATCGGAAGATTTATTTTGGTAGGGCCTAGTTCAAGCCGCGCTGGAGTAATGTCGTTCCTGCTTGCGTGCTCGATTGCACGTAACTCACTGCTGTTTGTACTCGTGGCTCACATTATTGCGGTTGGATGCACACTGCATTCGGCATGTGCGGTTTGCTCTTCAGGATTTGCTTTCAGTCTGTGCACATTGTCGAACTGGTCAAACCTAAAGAAAAAAATGTATGCTCAAGATTGCAGGTAATTTGGCCTGCAAGAAAATGCCTGAGCATTTCAGCAAAGTGACCCCTTTTGAAGCCTTTGTAGCCTTTTTTCATTCATTACAGTCAGTGCATGTATTTTTGTGACATTTTTGTGCATTGAATTCACAATGTTACCCACCACATTAATCTTTTTACAGATCTATCGTTACTAACATGTACATCCGTACCATTACTGCCTCCAGTGAAGTTCCTCCAGTGAAGTGTTGTAGTTAGGCTTTTGAAGTAAAATCTTGATAACATTCAGGAAAGTCTTATGAGCGTAGTCATTTTTATTAGATTTCAAAAGCATACAGCCGTTTTAGTCTATGTATCAAAATTAAACCAGGCTGGGAAAGATATACATTGAGAACCCTCCAAACACAGAATAAGTGACTTTGAGTGGGAAGATGGTGATATCATCTTTTACTTTTAGAAGAAAATTTGTATTTATTGTGACTTACACTGTTACAGCGTGATGAATTTTTCCATGAGGCACTGTGGTGTTTTCACATTGTGAAAGATTAAATACAGACAATTTTTACAATTTTTTCCAAGTTAGAAATCGCCCAAAAACATACGGAGAGGAGACAATAAATGCTACATGTACACATATATAATCATATTTTTCCCAAACTTTCCAAAGCACAGGAGAGAATTAAAAAGTTGCATCGTTAGTTGATAACCGATGTTGCAGTGCTGCCAGACTAGCAGCCCTGTCACTGGTTTCTGGTATTTGGGGAGAGGGATGTGCCGAGTACCAGCGTCAGGACACATCTCAAGATCGATAGATAAATCATACTTGTATACAGTACCTATGCCGATTAGGGCAGCTGCTTGTCAGAGTGGGGGATAACTGTAGCAGGTTTATAAGCCAAATGATAATCGACGAAGGCTTGCCTTGACCTGTACTGCTGTACATGAAAAGTGAAATATTCTTTCCATGAAAATGATAGTCGTGACATCTTTCTTGAGTGGCAGCACGGTGCTGGATATCAATCATGTGTGATTTGTAAGAGTCAGTTACCAGACTTCGCTTGCAATGGCTTTTACACATTTTTCATATTTACAGCAAACATAATAATTTGCTGACAGCACAGGGAAATGACTCCATGCAGGTGTACAAACACAGATAAGAGCACTGTTAATACAAGGTTATATTTTAAAACAAGGACAATTCTTTAGGTCTCAAGTCTTTGTTTTTCTATGTTTTTATTACTGATTTCACAAGGTAACTACGATGTGAATAACAAGAAAATGTGTGAAGTCTCAAGGACATTGATAAATCCTTGCTGGTTAATTCGCATTTTTTCATGCATTGCAGTCAAAAAAGAAAAATGAAAAAAAAGTCCATGCCCCATTTTCAGAATCGGATTTTGGTGAAACTTAAGCAATAGAAAATCATTTTATCCTTTACCTTGTTGAATTAATCTTGAATTATGCACTTTTAAATTTTTTTAGCATCGTTTACTCATTGTTATCATGTTAGCAGTTCCCTCATTTTTATTTGAATATATAGCAGTGGAACATTACATGAATGGCATATCATATGTAATTTCTGTTTGCGTACTATGTACATGTAGGTAATCTGCCATTCTCTACGACAGCTGAGCAGCTTGAGCGCTGGGTGTTAGAGGGCATCTCTAAGCCTGAGAGCAAAGACTTAAAGGCTGAGATTGCAGTGGATGGCATTGGCCGAGCAAGGGGCTTTGGTTACGTCGATGCCCCTGAAGACTTTAAGGAGGACATCTTGAAATTGCATGGCGAGTAAGTTGGATACATGTAACTCCAGCCTTGTAGTTTTAGGGGACCCATAGGCTAGCGGAAGGGGTTTGACTCCAGTAGTTGCTCAGAATTTTCCCACAGATTGCTAAAAATCTTCTGTATGGAAATTGTGCCGAATTAGAAATTATTTTTCTTGAAGGATTACTCATTTTCCATTCGGTTTTTATGCTCATTGCCAGTCATTTAATTCTGCTTGCTCTGTTTTTTAAATATTTGGTTTTTTTTCTTGTATAGAACAACACAATGGAAATGAAAACAAAACTGTGAAGATGTAGTTTAATATTATTCTGACTTAATTCTGTGTTTGAGGACACTTGATGGAAGGAAACTGCGAGTTCAGATTGCTCGTGACGCAAGTTCAAAAGCCAAATGGAGTGGAGACAACAAAGGGGTGCAATCTACCAGGCGACGGTTCCCACGCCCTATCGCCAGTAAGCTTCTTGCCACACCCTCTCACACTTACACCCTGATTGATGTAGGAGCTAACTTGATGCACAGGGCCTTCGGCCGCAGAGGCCTGCCAAGCCGCAGTCAGAAAAATGCCGTGAAGGTGAGACTCAGCAGGTTAAAACAGTTTTGAAAATGTTCTAGAAGTCTTTGATTTGTCAATCACACGTTACACAGTTTCATTTCAAGGTACAAGAGACTGATGTGTCTTGTCAAGTCCAGCAACTTTTTGGGGGGTTGGGGTGAAAGTATTTCTTGGCCGAGTTGAGTGATTTGTAACTGCTAATATTTAAGGAAAACTTCCTTGCAAAAGGATTTATTGTAGATATTGATAGGCTGAAATTTGACAGATGTATGCTGTTGTTATTCTCCGGCCCCTGTTGCTTGAGACTTTAGGCCTACTGGTAACTTGTGTTGGCCTTTGTCTTGATTGGAGTGACGTTTTAGAGAAATTTGTGACTAATACTTGTGATGGGCTTGATTTCATCCCTGTTATGTTAGTCTCTTACAGTTTTGCTATACCAGTTGTAGGCACTAAACATGTCTATGGTCAGACCTTTTCTACTGTCAGTCCGCCAGGTTTTTTGTGGCCAACTATAAAGGGGTCATCAGTTGCACTGGTTGCATTACAACTTCGCAATTTTGCAGAATTCTGGAAAGAAGACCTGAGTTTGCAAGTTCCACTCCCCCCCCCAGAAAAAACGTATCTGTACTTCAACTACGGCACTCTGAACCAGCAAGGGGCAGGTGAACGACATAATTTACCAGAATGCTTTGGACTTTAGGTCAGTGTCACACCTGGGTCACAGAGTCAAGACGCTAGGCACGGGCCACTCACCTGCTCAGCTGTCATAAACTAATATCGAAGTGGTGTCTTATGCTAGTTACACATTTGTGGGAATGCTGTTTTGTGCCAGTTATGGAACTGCCTATATGTCCAGCGAGCGCAGGCTGTACGTTATGTGGATCAATATTCTGGTATCCAAATCTGCATTGCCCAGAGGTTATTTGAAGGAGGACAAGACGTGTTGGTTTTGACAGGTGCTGATCTTGGGGAACAGTCCAAGTGTTGCTGATACACCTGTTGCACATCTTTCTTTAACCCTAACCCTCCTCAATCCTTCACCTGTTGGAGGACTGAGGAGGGTAAGGGTTAACGGCAAATTTTATTACATATGTGCCATTGTTCATTTGATCCCTTCTAATTATAGAGAGCTCGGTCGATGGGCGTGGAACAGATCATCATCGCAGGTACGTCAGTTGCCTCAACAAGAAGTGCACAGGAACTGGCAGAGAGCTACTCAGGAACCTTGTTCTATACAGCAGGTAGGTACATCTCACAAGAGTCTTCTCAGCCAATGGCCTTTTTTGTTCTCAAGATTATTGCATGGATTCTGTGGTCAAGGAGACATGCCCGCTTTTGTTCAATAATAATAATAGCTTTAAACTAAGATCAAAGCACTTTCCATTATTATTACCCCTGCTCATTGGGCCCATGAAGCATTCCAAATACCCACTCAACACCCTGGATAGTATACAGCTCGATGCAGCCACTTTGATGCAAAGTAGCTAAATCAACCATCTCTGTCCTTGCAGGTACATGTCCCCAATTACTCCTTGGTGGCAATGAGTGACAAATTGCATTGTCCAAGGGGCAGGCACCGTGACCTCAGGCTTGATTTAAACCACCCTGCAACCTATCAGATTAGAGCCCACCTTCCTGATTTCACTGGTTCACCAGCCCGCATCGAGGTACCGGTATCGGGAAATAGCATACAGTGATCAATAAGTGACTGCTGTTTCCAACCAACCAGTGAACATTGTACACTATCACTGAACGCCTTGATCAAGGCTAGTGAAATCAGTAAGGTTTGCGGCAGGACTAGAGGGCATGTCTCCACAGAACCACACAACTGGTTCGTATAACCAAAACAGCTTCACCTTGCACATGTAACTAATCAATACCAACGCAATCCTGCATTACTCCTGACTGCAGCAAAGTACTGTGAGCTAGGTGAGAGACTAAGATTATACCTAAAACACCTGTACCTGGCTACATATGGCAATAGCATGCATCTACATGTTTAGACATTTATCACAATGCTGCCATGTTTGTCATGTTCCCAGTAGACTCACTGGCTGTAGTAATACAACTTTACATACTGACAAAAAGCAACAGACTATTTTTCCTTCCAGCCTTAACGTCAGTTTACACTTCAAGTGACAGTGAATGGGAAGCAATTTGTCAGGGAAATGGCACACATCACGATGGAACTGTAATTGTTGACATGACATTCGCTTTAGCGTGAAGTCTGAACCTGGTCCTAGTTGGGTTACATTGCTTTGAATGGTTGGAAATTAAGATGACTGCTCCATGACAATATTGACAGAGATCTGTGAGGGTGGCTAAATGCACTGCCCTAAAACAAGTGTCTCTCTGATACGACAGCGTAACTTTATGCTTTCTTGAGAAATAGATGCCTTCATGATGAAGAACCTGTTTACATTTAAGAAGAAACATTCTTCAGCTCACGACCTGTTGTACTTTTTTCAGTTTACCTTCTCAACATCTCACGAATAAAGTCAGCCAGACATCTTAACTCGAAAATTATTTTCATCAATCCATGTTTACATTTTCCCTTTTGGTCCTTAATCAATAGGTGTTCACCCTCACAGTGCCAAGAATTGGGATGATACAAGCGAAGAGAAATTAGAGAAGTTGGCTGCAGATCCAGCGTGTGTGGCGATTGGCGAGACTGGTCTAGATTTCAAGCGTAACTTCTGTGAACCAGACATTCAAGAGGAAGTATTTGAGAAGCAGGTTTGTGCGCTTGAGTTTAAACCTCTCCTGCCCTCCACTTTCTATCCAAAACCCTCTATCTCCGTCCAGCCTGCCTTCTTTCCTCTCCCAGCCTGCCTTCTTTCCCCTCCCAGCCTGCCTTCTTTCCTCTCCCAGCCTGCCTTCTTTCCTCTCCCAGCCTGCCTTCTTTCCTCTCCCAGCCTGCCTTCTTTCCCCTCCCAGCCTGCCCTTTTTCCCCTCCCAGCCTGCCTTCTTTCCCCTCCCAGCCTGCCTTCTTTCCCCTCCCAGCCTGCCCTTTTTCCCCTCCCAGCCTGCCCTTTTTCCCCTTCTCGTTTAGCACTTTTCCCTGGTGCCACAACCCTGGCTTAATCTGTTGGGACACATGGCAATAGCCATATACTCCCCAGATCCCCACTCCCACAGTCAATGTTGCCATCTCAAGCCGAAGCGGAGACAGCACAGTTACACCCAACATTGAGAGAGGACGTAGGGATGAGAGTTGGCCAGGATTGTAGCTGTTAATGCATTCAATCTGGCAGTTTTTAGTGTCCCAAGTTTGAAGAAGAAAAGTTGCTGTCTCTTAATCTGTTGATCAGTGGAGCTTGGAAGATCATCTGTGTTGATTTTAATTTGATGGATTTTTGCAGGTGCAACTTGCTTGTCGTCTCAAAAAGCCTTTGTTTATACATGAGAGAGAAGCGCACACAAAGCTAATGGAAATTCTGATGAAATACGAAGGGCAACTCCCACAATGCATTATACACTGCTTCACTGGAACCGAGGAAGAACTGAAAACTTACATTGATAAAGGCTTCTGGATCGGTTTGACAGGTGAGCAGGCATGGTCTGACCTTCAAATTTCTTGATTCGGGTGGGTTCAAGTGAGTTTTTCTCAGTTCAGTTGTCTTCTCAGAAGAGTATTAACCATTTGCCGCTAGCTAAAGCGCCCTCCATCGGGTGAAAAGAACCATATTGGTTGAGGGGATTCATTTTCCTCATAGTGATGGGCTTTGTGAACCAGTGAAGTGCAGTTCTAACCAGAGGAGCCTCTCTTGCTAGGAAAATTGCGCCCTCTCTTGGTCCGGCTGGCGGCTTATAAGGTGGTCTGACTCGGGGGGAAACTAAAAACTTTTTTATTTGGAATGAGAGAGCAATTTGGTTCAATGATTGTACTGTTTTGCCTCTTGGCAAAATTAAGCTTGATGACTCAGAAGAATTGTAGTTCCGTTTGAAGACATCTTAATCACAGACCTGCTCCTTAGTTGTCATATGTAGCTTGATATTTGAAGGTCAATAGAATAGACACTGACTTGGACCAGTATCCCAACACAGTGTCATTCCATTCCACCAACTCTGTCATGTTTCATTTTCATTGCAGGCTTTATCTGTCAGAGTGAAAACAAAATCCCGGAACTGCTCAAAGCAGGCACCCTCCCCTTGGACAGAGTGCTGCTAGAGAGCAACGCCCCCTTCATGGAGCCCCGCCTACGTAGGGACCTGGAGGTCTGGGACTCGCTCAAGCATGTCCTCGAGTGCCTTCCCTCCTTGGCATCTTGGAGCCCCTTCCCACGGAATGAGCCAGCCAAGCTGCCCATAGTGTGTGAGATTGTGGCCCACTATCTGGGACTCGAACCCCACGAGGTCGCCGACAAAACCTCTCAAAACGCCCACAAGGTCTTTGGAATCGATAAAGAGTAGCGGCACAGGCTTTGTGGTTTTTTTTTACATGTTGAAAGAAATTTTGTTTGCAACTCAAGATGAAAATGTGAAATGATAAAGTCAGCTGATAAAATGTTTATATTTTGTTTGGCTATTTCATAAGATAAATATACAGCTACAAGCAATATTATGGTTCATTTCCTGTTTGTTTTCCTTTATATTTTGATGAATGTTTTGTTTCAGATTACTTCATGACTCACTCTTTCTGTGGCTTAGCCATACTTAAAACCTGTACAATCGTCTTGGGCCTTCAACAGCCACCTTAAGGTTTGGGATTGTTTTTAATTGCAGGGGGTTGAACTGGGCAACAAACGGTGAATTTGATGCCTCGTGAAAGTGAGAATGCAACAAATGTGTCATTGGAATTCGGCACAGTAAAGGTTCTGTAGGATAGAGGAAAATTTCTACAAATAATGTGCCAGACATCAAGGTTCGCAGGGGTATTTTTTCCATTCATTTGAGTGCATTAGCAATTTATGATGAACTCAATGAGTTTCATTTCAGACTGCGTTCGGTCTGAGTTACTATGCATTAGATCACATCCAGAAGTACATTATGCATTGTTCAACTAAAGCAAAGATTACCCGTAGCATGGGAATGGGTGTGTTATGAAGGAGGCTTTACTGAACTTAGACATGACAACCAGGGTGTTTTGTGCCTCGACTTAATACCTCATCGGTGTCTTCTTTCTTTCTTTTCTTCTTGATTGGGCTTAGCTATCACTTTGCAATATGGAAGAAAAAGAATATTGCGTTTTCAGAAATATGATCCTTTAGCTTTCAATCTACTGTCCAAATGGAGTCAATTACAGCGCAAGTCCAATATTTCAAAACAGGAGTGGAAAAACAGTTCCGAATCATTAGTCAGGATGCAAATGAGAGTGACGAGTGATTTACAGATAAATGCCTTGTTTTGGTTTATTCATGAATTAGTTTTGTCTTGAATTAGAGATAGACTAATGACAGCTTTTGATGAGAAAACAATTTAATTACATCAGACAAGACGGTAAGTGTTCATTACAGATGCAAAGAAACAGTCCTAGTTGTCACTTCTGCCTTGTATCAAACTTGCCTTTTTGGTTTGGATGTTCATTATAGTCGGGTTAGACTTTTACACTGTTTCGTTTACATAGTTTTGCAATAACATCACTTTTTGCTCTCTGTTCGATCAAAATTCAGTTTAAAATAATATGTTTGTTGTCCATGGGAAAATGTAAGATTCTTGTGCAACCTTAAACATTATTTATAAATAGAAGCTCCCTAAGGGTTTTGTTTGTTTTTTGTGTTTTATATGGTCGCAAATTTCACCTTGTTTATGTGTCTTTTTTCCTTCGTTTTATCCAGATTTTGAATGTGTTTTGAGCACATTAAACATTTTCACATAAACATGCAGCTGATGTAGTCATTTAGTTACTGTTGTGCGCTTTTATTTGTTCATTAAAATTTGTTTTACTTCTACGCAAATTTTACGTTTCTATCAGGTAAGGGATGACGAAGGTTTTGTTCCATTGTGTATTTAGATTCTACGCTTCAAGTGTGTATGTTATCGAGCAACCTCGTCCAATTGGCCGCATTAATGGCTCACTGGCAAGTTTTACATATTTTTACACGTATGTATGGCCACATATGAAGCGAGATATGAGACGGAGAGGCCCCCCACCCCACTTTATGTTGGTCATTGTTTCATTGGAATCTAAGGAATTCTTTTCAGACATCTAGGGGAACGTGTTAAGTAACGATACTCTGTATATGGCGATTAGACAAATTGGGGGGTACCCCTCAGTCTCATTTCTTGCTGGATATACATGGCCTCGTTGGGTGTTATTTTGCACGCTTGGTTTCTGCGACTGTCGGATGACCATTTAAGCATGGAACCGTTGACCTCAGGAGATGACCTGAGATGTTGCGTTCTTAAGATGCAGCCAATAATCTATTGTCTTCAGCTGTTTATGGTTTACCAAGGAAGCTCCTAGGAAGTGTACATGTGCATTGCACTGCGTTCTGAGATCAGATGTACATCTTCCAATTAGAAGCAAACAGATGGCTCTCTCTAATACGTGCTCTTACATTTAGAGCATTTTGTGTCAACCAATGCTTTCTTTTGTTTAGACCAGTTTTACTTAATGTACATGTATTGGACATGGTGCCAAAGTAATGTATTCTATTACAGAACAAACAATTCGAATTTCGGTTTCATCGTTTTTATTGATATTTTTGGTTTCTGTTTGGTGTTTTTGTTTTGTTTAAGTGAGCAATAGATTTACTCAAACATATGAAAGAAACCCTTGTTCTCTGCATTTAGAGATCGTCTGTTGAACTCACCTGTGAATCTTACAAACCAGTCCCCGAAATTAATGACATCTTAGAAACTAAAAACTCCATGTGGGATTTGTAAATCCAGTGTTAATTTTACAGAGTAACTGTTTTGAGTAGAAGCAAATTGATTGTGTTTTAAGATGAATTAAAAACTGAAAGTGTACTGACTAGTTACTATAACCAATGATTTAAGAAGAAAACAAGTTATGCTGAAAGCCATCATTTTTCCTTGTTTGCAACTTGTTTATTTAATTTTGCGTAACATTCGATTCCTGTAACCAACTCAAGAAGACCGGATTTTATTCAACAGTTATTTCGTCTACCAGTTGCGTTAGTTTAAATTCTGAATGGTGTTTGTATCTGTGTTTTATATAACATTTGACAACTTACTGAAGTTTCATTAAATAGAATTTCGTATTTTCAATTTTGACAAGTCAAGTGTATGTTTAAAGTTTGGATACACTGTCTGCTGTATGTTAAGGCAGTAGGATGATGGAAATTTCCAAATTTCCAGAGATTGTGGGAACAGATCAAACCATGTGTGTCCTATGAAAGAATTGTATTTTACGTTTTTTGCAGTGGTTCTCAGTCATGATTAAGGAACGGTGACTGAGTACCAGATAAAATGGACAAATTGCTCTCCTCTGCTCTGCTTTTGTCAGCAACAAAACCTGTTTTCAGAGTTGAGAACTAAAGAAACACCCTCCCCTTCAGAGGCATCTCGCTATCGGAAACAGATGCTGCCATGTTTAGGAAGCTACATGTATGAGACCCATTGACCAATCAACTCCTTTGGTCAGTTTTCTTTCTGATGTCACCAAATCTGAACTTCGCTTCGAATGGCAGATGTTTCAACCAGACCTTTGTTGTTCTCAGACTGCTCTCCTCTCAGTGCTGATTTGCTGTCATGACTTATTTTGATGTTTATATATATATATATATATATATATATATATAGAGAGAGAGAGAGAGAGAGAGAGAGAGAGAGAGAGAGAGAGAGAGAGAGAGAGAATGTTGACCTATAGTCATACTAAAAAGTTAAAGGTGCCAATTCAGTGGCCTCGCTAAGCATGTGTGTATCGGGACTTACCCGTTAGAGTCTGCGTCTATTTACCAAACATTCAGATTTCAGTTGATGCAAAAGTGGACCCCGTCTAATGCCCTCGGTTTATATCGGTTTATAATTTTCCGAATTAACTTGGTGTATGTGTGAGTGTGAAACAAACTTTCATGATCCGATTGAATCTCGCACCTTACAGACACCAAAGCAATCTCAGCAGTGTGAGTGGGCAAACGGATGGTAACAAGGTACAATTGTCCTTGAAGGCTATGCAAATGCTGTAGGAAAAGTTCTGACATAAAAGCAATTGACTTCATTTTCCCGAGTTACCTGCACAGGAGACAGTCAGAGCTGTATTAACCAAAGTAAGTGCTATCTCCATTTTACTTCTATTAAACTGTCTCAGCTGAAGAGGACTTAATTCGATCCATGTTTGTTTATACGTGCTTCTTTTCGGGTATCATTTTCCGTCTCCGTATCTGAGAGTGGGAGGGGTAAACGGCCGGCCTGACTCAGGGCGATTGCAAAAGAGTAGGAAGGAAAGCCGCACAAATCAATTTGTATAATAATTTATTGTCTCATGCTGTAACATATTGTAGTTTTTACTTTTCATATGCATCTCAAGAATACTCTCCGACCATTCTTTCTGGCATCAAAGGTATTCATCGAATTCCCTCTATTTGGGTATTAAAGTGGTATAAATATTTATGACCCACCGAAAAAGAGGTGGGTGTTGCAAAATGTTTCCCCAAAAGTAGGCGCTGTAGCCCCGCAAGAGACGCCCCTAGAAGAAGTATACACATTATGCACAAAGTATATTTTCTTTTATTTCTTAATTATCCAGTTGAAGGGCTAATGTGGTGTTCATGTGGCGTTTTATTTTCCCGTTTATTGACTCACTTTGATAACTCCGGCAAGACGCTGGCGTTTTTCACTTTTCAACTTTCCATGTTAACTGAGAAGCATTACACATAGAGATTCCGCGACTGGTCGTGGTTCTGATGCTCTGGACAACCGTTGTAATGGCAATGACGTTTGACGATGTTATGGACCTGGGAGTGGCCATGTTGGAGAAGGGTTACGATGCCGACCCCTTGGAAACAGATGTGTTTAATGTCGAAAAAAAAGGGAACGCCGACGATGGATGTGTAAGTAAAAGAATCAAGCCCCAGCGAACGACCCTCTCCCATTAGCTGCCTTATCCACACAGACCGGCTCCATTCTCTATGCACACCAGAAGCTCTTGTTCTCTGGCCCCAAATTGTCCATTTCATTTGTTGAAATGAAACAGATAACACTTTAGAAACATTTCTACCTGTGTTTCATTTAGTAACCAAGCTCTCAGAAATCCGATTTGGACCCGATTCATTTTCAATAACAATGTACTACTCGGTTATGTGTGACAGCATTGATGTAAGAAAGATGTCAACGGAAAGAGGATGAGCTGTGATGAAAAATATAAAACTATGTGACTTTGGCTTATTACCCCTTGACCTTGGAGTACTGTTTGATATACAATGACATCGGTTTTAATAAGAAATTAAAGCCTTTAGGTCAACTAAGGCACATTTATCCCTTTGAACTGACGAAGGTTAAGTACACACACAAAATGCACAAAGAAATCAAATTTACAATGGAAAAAATATAATTTCTGACAAACCTCAGTGCAAATACAGCTGCAAAACATTGAGGTTTCTGCTTTCGGTGAAGTCAAACTTTCGCTCATAACTAAGCAAATGCGCATAGGCCTACACGTGAAAATCAAAACACCTTTGTAATATCACACGAGATTTTGAAGTTGGGTAAAATTGTTCTCAAAGGCTACAGAGGTATATACGAACTGCATTAAAACAGACGTTGCTGGGTCATGAAGGAATACGAACACTTTTCTCCTCCATGGATACATTTACTACTGTAGCCGAATATTAGAAATATCACACCATAGAGGAATACTCACTGCAAATCAGATATAGGTTGTCATTTAATGCACTGATTGCATATAACTTGAGACTCGATCCGGATTACATAATGTGCTTGTAGTCAAGTTGAAAGGAATTGCCACATCGAAATGCGAAAGAAAATTACAGTCACATATTGAAGTCAGGTTCGAACCACTGTGGGATCACACGAGTCCCACAAGTCACTGACAACCACTTCCTGTGGATGCGTTTGCCACTCCCATGAATGGGCTTAATTTATTGTTTTTAATTCAATTGCAAGACTGTATTTGCCAGTAAAGGAGCTACAGCTGTGGCGTCATAGAACAATTTTACCCCTTCTGCTTGGTAACGCAACGAACCCGTAATGCAACCTCTTACATATTACATTTTCACGTTAGCCTGAATTTATACATTTCGGGGTAAAAAGTGGTAACTAAAGGAATCTGCAAACATCAGAAATAATAACAACATAAAAGAGCGTACAAACGATATGTAGATATATAGAGTGGCATGGTATTTCCGTGATTCAGATCCTTAGTTGTCGTTGTTCAGAGGTTAAAGGATAATACAGGGATCGGTTCCCATACGCTCAATGTAAAATGTCCATCGTAAGATAATTTCTTTTCCAAATAGACCAGTGGTTATTCAAGTAAGCTATTAGGCCGAAAAAATCGCCTGTTCCTGGTCAGAAATTGGCTCCAGAAGTGGTGCCGCGACGTGGCTTGTTTTTTTCTTTTCTTTTCTTTTTCACTCACTTTTTTTTAAGATATACTTATAATAACGCGCGATGTCCAGTGTGGCTACATGCGTACGAACGGCACTGCCACCAAAACTGAAATAGACTGACACCTCACTGTTTACTGTTCTCCGCTTGTACACAGGACATAATATCACCTCGTTTGCATGGATCCCAGATTTAATTTTACAATACAAATATGACGTCATCTGAAAAAGAGTGCCTAAATATGGGAGCCTAGAGGGACTCCCTATACATATTGCTCACCCGTACCCCCATCTAAGACACATTAAAATTACGCAGCAGCAGGATTACAATCAATCAAACAAATTTGGCAGATTTGGGACATTGTATTATACCAAAAAATAAAAACCTTTTAAAACCTCCCCACAAGTCTACGCTGACCATTTTGGCCTTACATGTCGAGCAGGCTTCTAAGCTAATGGAAGAGGAGTGGTGCTTGTTTACAAAATAAAGCAGAGTTGAAGAGAGGAAAATACTGAAAAACAACGTGCGACTTTCAAAATACAATTTTTTTTTCAAAATGAAGCAGAAATTATGCAAGAAGTTCTCAGTGTTGAATAGCAACTACATGTTTCACTAAAACCCTGCCAGAGCTCCTCTTAATTGTAAACGTCTGAACCTGTTTATTGATGAAATGGGAGAATTAAAAGGGTATCCTCAGTTGAAAATAGTTTAAAACTGGCAAATTTGCAATGCAGGTGCGGCAGATTCATACAAATAATGAGGCTGGATAATTAGGGAATTATTATTATACGTGTAATACATAGATGCCACGGTATACCTTTAACATACATGACAAGAAGCCCTCTCTAACTTGTGACTCACTCCCCTTCTCTCCTTTCCCTCGGTAAACCCTTCATGGAAGAAAAAGAAAACTGGAAGCTGGAGAATCTTTGGTAATTAACTGCTCCAAACTGAAAATAACCTGTTAGATCGATATTTGTAAGCTGGAAATATAGTATTCCTCCATAAGTGTCTCAATAGGATACAGTCACCTGTGTACTCTTCTGGAATAACGCAGAAAGAGAATGAACAAAACACTCTTGAGTATTATCATGTGGGTCATGTCATGAAGGCTGACAGCAAAACGTTTGGACCAAAACCACAAAGAAAGGCAAGTTTACTTAAAAACATAAATTTGATTAGGGAAAAGAAAGGATCATCAACGAAGAAAAAAATGTGAGCGCTCCAAAATAGGAATAAATGACCATATAGAGATGACATGCAATGAGGCATGAGGGAAAGGACAAGGACTAGAGCATTTTTGGTGAGGAGTACGTGCGAATATATACCTCTTGGTTTTGTACTAATCCTGAAGCATTTAAACGGGCTCTTTTGGAGCATTTTGTTGGACTACGCGGGTATACTTCCTACTCGGCATTTTGTGATGAGGAGAATCATGGAGGAGGGACACAGAAGGATTTTGAACTGCCAGGGCTGTAACATTTGGCCAATTACCGCTTTCTGGCATGCCTGGTATGTCCATAGCCAGAGCGCAGCGAACGCTTGCTACGCACAATCTGTTTCACAACCACAAAACCCCTTTGCACCCTGTGATCACCGCAGCAATTTGTCGCTGGTAATCTACATCCTTAAAAGTTTGTGACAACGTTGAACTTCCTGGTCACAGCGATAATCTATATTTAATTGCAAGTAAAAACTACAAGTATTGCTAGGATATTACTGGCCCCACTTATCCAGCTAAGATGTAGGCAGTAAGCAGGTATTTTTGGAATGTTCTCTCTTATTCGTCTGACTCAGTAGCGACCGTAATTGATCACTTTGAAGTGCCTGAGTTGCAACTCCTTCTGTGTCCTTCCTCTATGCGCCTACATAGCGGGATACCATTGGGCTCTCCATACAAAAATGGCTTACCTTGCTTATATGCATTTTGGGTGTGCCTTGGTCTATGAGAGGATCGAGTGCTTTGCAACGCTAGGTTACGGTTGATCATGTCTGTAGCAGTAATAACAAATTATTGTGGTAATAAGTAGGTATGATTAATATTATTATATTAATATAAAAGATTGAAACAAAACCAACATACAAAAAGAAACAAAAGCAACAAAGCAAACACAAGTGACAGATCTCAGGGATTTCTTCTCGTCTTAATACGATACCTGGTTGATTCAGGTGATTTACATTTATGATTGCGACTGCTGTAGATACCTTCGTCATAAAACTCAAATAACAGTTCAACAGTAAAAAAGGCCTTCCTTGTCAACTACGCTTGTATTTTTGGCTTGTTACAAAGAAGCTTTCAAGGATTTTTTGGGGAGGGCGGGGTTTGGTTTCTTTGTTCCTTGCGTGGTTAAACACAAACCCTCAATTTATCCCCGTTTACCATTTGTTTTCTACAATGCGTATAAGGTAACCAACCTTGTAAATCAGTAGCCAAGTCATTACGGCCAACGTCATCTAAAGTAGACACCAGGTCAGCAAGCTGACCGCCCCCTTGATGCCACCACAACAACATTTGAAACATGGCGTTCCCAATACTTCCACGGTTATTTTCTTTCAGTTGGAATATCTTTGAAGAGCTGACTCCCAAAGTTGTAGCTAGTCTCTCCCATTCTTCGCCTAGCTCTGAGGCTATCTGACTCAAAAGCTTTTCATGGTCTGTACTTTTTCTCTGGAAAATGATACAAATTGAAAGGAAATAAATTAAAGCCACAAAGTTGATAATGGTAAACCCTGAGGCTCTTGAAAACTAAATTAAAAGCGGTAATTCTTGAAGGAAAACCATCTCATTTCCTGGGATTTATAACATTCGGTCATGAATTTCATTTACCAATGGCACACCATCGGACTGGATACAAAATGGAGCATATGAAAGCGACTCTGTCGGTTGCGCTATACTCCGAGAAGTTGAGGGGGCAGTCTGGCCCCATTTGACCTTGGGCAGTCTGGCACAATTTAACTTTTGCTACAGAAATAGGAAAAGCAAAATAATATGCACTCTGTTTATCAATCATGTGTTCCTGTATTACATAGAGTAAAGCAACAGTAAGTTTTGTTTATTTCATCTTTTCTGATGTTGCTAATGCGGTTTAAGTACATGTACTCCGAAATCAAACTGACAATCCGTGAACAGACTGGCTGCAAGGAATGATGAAATAGACAAAAAAACTTACTATTGCTTTACTCTATGTAATACAGGAACACATGATTGTTCAATAAATTATGTTAAAATAGAATGCAGCCTATTTACAAATCTCAAATTAATAAGGTGAGGGTCACATCCCCGGTTACTCCCAAACCCGTGGAGATTTTTAATACGGAAACCTTTTGTGGCAGCCAAGGGAGCAGGCCCGTTTGGGGGAAGTTTACCGCCAGGTGCAGCAAGCCGGAGAGCAGCCACAAGTGCGCACTGGGGTAGAGGACAGGGTGAGACACAAGGGGTGCAACAGACACAAACGGACACGTCTGCCTAATTAATAACTCCCTCCTCTCCACGCACTATTGATGATGCGACCTCTACAGGCCTTGGCAATCTCCTAGACAGGTCTTGGTCCCTGTACAGGTGTAAGCTATGGGCACAGTTTGCTAAATTTACATCCACCAAATTCCCCGTAAGACTACTGCCCCGTGGATGATGTATATTAAATCTAAAGATCCCATGGTAAGTTGCTTACCGCGACAGACTGTGGGGGAGCAGTAAGTGAAAAGTGTACGGTGACTGAAACTAACCGGGACGGAACTGCTATAGCACATGGGACTGACGGCGAAGGAACTGACCCGCATGGCACGATCGCACTTGTATATCGCGCAGGCCACCAGCCTGGAGCCACCAGCCACAACGCAAATCGGGCCCCGCCGACGTCAGGGCAAACCACGACGGCTCGGAAGAGACATGCAAACTGCCATTGCGCCACACTATTTATAAAATTATCATTGTTTAAAAAATATTTACAATTTTGGTGTTCAAGTTACACGATATGAATTGCGACCGGGACTTTTGTTTAGCTGCACGATATTTATCTACAGATTAATTGAACGTAGAATTTAAAATGATTTTTGCTGACACTGCAGCGATGGTTGGTTTATGTCTTGGCCAGTCAGGAACTCTCGGACTCTCTCGGACTTGTTTCGCCACAGAGTAGCGTACTATATACGAGACAACAGCTGCCTGACCCTTCTGTACAATGGTCTTGAGTTGACACTGGCCTTGAGTTGGCAATGGTCTTGAGTTGACACTGGTCTTGACTTGACATTGGTCCTAAGTTGACAATGGTTTTGATTTGACACTGGTCTTGACCTGACACTGGTTCTGAGTTGACACTGGCCTTGAGGTGACACTGGCCTGAGTTGACACTGGGTCTTGAATTGACACTGGTCCTGAGTTGACACTGGTCCTGAGTTGACACTGGCATTAAGTTGACACTGGTCCTGGGTTGACACTGGTCCTGAGTTGACACTGGTCTTGAGTTGTCCCTTAGGTTTCTTCTGGCTAGTCCTGAAATCGGACTGCTTGTATGCTTGTCTGTTGCCCACAGTAGAACCCTACGTAAAAGGAACACGGACCAACACCCATCTAGAACAAATGTTCGACAACGTGCAAGGGTGTGCTTCAATAAAAGGTCATTGGGAGTCAGTGCTTGAAGTTCATTTGAATTTGTTACACATACATGTACATTGATCGGATGATCATTCAGGATGGCTTCTACCTCGTCATTAAATCGATGCTTCAGCTCATGCAACATTCCAGTTATTATCGTTCTCAGACATGTAAATATTACCCCACAATCCTTACTCCAGATCTGCCTCGTTTCACTATCAGCGGCCCAAAGTAATCCATGTCCACATTGGTGAAAGGAGAATGGTTAGCTTCAAGACGTTCAGCTGGTAGGTTAACCATCACTTGTTCATCTTGTCTACCTTGATACTTTCAACAGGTCAAATATCTAAGAGCAATCTTCTTTGAAGTACCATTTGCTCCAATTATCAAATACATTTGCCTCACATGAGCCAGCATGGCATTTTTTTTCTTGATGACTTACACGTCTATGGGCATCGTCAAGTAGCAGCATCGACAGTGGTGAATCCTTAAGTACAATAATTGGGTGTCTAGAACTAAACAGGAGAACAGTTGCTTCGCCAATTCGTTTCCCGGCCCTCATGATTCCTTTCACTAATACTAGACTAATACAGACCCAATGTTAATTATATATAACGGGTTTGCCCTTACCCAGCGTATATTAATAAGCACTGTATGCTTAGTGGTTGTCCGAGAGCTTGCGGAAAAAACCTCACACGCTTACTCGGGTGAGACTCAAACCCACATCTCCCCAACGCAAAAAATACATCTTGAAAAAAGCCCCAATGTTGTTTTACCAAACTCAAATCAGTTTTGCGTTTTATTGCGTCATGACCGCGTGTGGGGTAAGCCTTGCTTTGATTATTAATCCCGACCATTACGTATCGGCTTTGATGAACTTTCACGTCTATTACACCGTTCGAAAAATATTTGCAAAGTGCAAATTCCTGCTACCCAACAACGACCTATTTGACCCACATAATAATTACTACGATCACGCTGCTTTATCGACACTTGCCGCGAGTTTAACGTGGATCAAAAAAGAAAAATTTAAACAAACGTGCGACCCTGATTCAAGTGGTCTCGGAACCGCTTACCATTATGACATTGCTGGATTTTTAAACATGGCACCTATAATTATCTCCCCGCTCCGGGAAAAAACTATGATCCAAAACCAGTTATAATGAATATGGTCTTGAGGGTAACCTGGTGGGCTTTCATTAGCAACCCGTGGGCTCAGGTCTCCCGTTGAGATGTTTAATTGGTTGGATTGAACAAGATTACAACGTCAAAACGGCGTGGCAAGACTTTATTCCTTACAAAAGCAAGCTCAAAGACGTGGGAATTATTTGCGTAAACAATTCAATTAGAACATATGTCTGGTCATTGTTGGGAGTACAGGCTAATATTAAAACCAGCGTATTAACTAAAGGAAATAGATTAGATGCCCAACATCGGTCTGTCGCAAACGTAGAATCAAAAATCAATGCGGAACCAAATCTCAAAGAATCTATCGATGATTAGCAAAATTCGTTACAATATGCTACATCTCCTTTAATTGATGTCATAAGACCAGGTTTGTATTTAATTCCATCAGACATGACCCTACAGATTGGAACGTATGAAAGGTATAACAACCACCTTCAGATCGCAGCACCTGACATGCAGTCGGGATATCAGACTGATATAGACACAGATGACGTTGTTGAACGATTTTGAAGAAGAAAGTCAGGTATTTACCCCAGGGGAAACAACTACTGATCAACCACCTCAACCCCCACAACCCAAAACCAAAACTTCACAATCACCACAACAACCACCGACGAAAACGAACAATGGTATAAAGCTGATGTTGATACGATCGTATGAGACATTGGTGGTTTATAAACTTTGTTTGGTTTAACAGACAATCTTTGTAAGATTGGTAATGTAGGTCTTGCTCAGTTACGACCTTTGTGACACCTTTGGCTTTTTGAGTATCAAGTTATCTTTGTGTTTGACGGAATACATCTTTGGACGGATACAAATGGCTTCACCGATTTTTTCATCATTTCGATATAACTCATGCCACATTCTTTGGAATATAAAACTTTCTTAAAACTGGGTTTATTCACCATGCGTTTAAATTTTATGACGTCAGAATCGTTGTTGTCGCGCATTATTTTTGTGTTACAACGTTTGCAAACATTTTCCATTGTTTTGCCATGCACTGCATTGTTGGCCAGTTTGAAAAAGTCTTTATCAATGCGATGTTTAGCTTGTTTACGAAGGTCTGTATGTTTTGTTCAATGTAGCTACGTAACGTAGGCCATTGTCTAAATTGTATCACACAGTGTACTTTTGTCAATTTGACACCAAGTAGTAAATATAGCTGTAGTAATCGAAATTGTGCCACATAGCCTTCTTTAGGTACCAACGTAGCAATAAGCTTTTTAACTTTTATGGCTTTGTTGACAAGCATTGATTTTTGTTGCAGGCTAAAATAATCGAGTTTCATTTTTATGTTTTGAGGGCTAAAGTAAATTAAAAAGATCGTTTAAGTCTAACAGAACATTCAGATCAATCTCGATCATGTATCCACGGGTTGCCCACGAGATCTAAATTGGGAATGTATTCTGTGGTAAAACTTTGTGGATTTTTAACCCATCGAAAGTTTGAAAATGGCAAATACTAATTCATGGCCCATCCATACAAATTATTTGCATCTAGATACAACGAATCACTTGTAGGCTCGCTTGGGTTGTATTCAGCGAAGTGTTTGTTGTTGGCTTTGGCATGACGTTTACCCCCCACGTTTGAAATGCCTCCTCGTTTACAGTGCTTATTAATATACGTTGGGGAGGGGCAAACTGTTATATATAACTTCCTCGTTTAGCTTTTTCAAAAAACAAGTGTTTGTGAATGTCTGTTAATACGGTTGAGCATGACTGTGTTTAAACAACGTGTCCCAAATAAATCCTGGAGATGTGTCATAATTGGTGGGATCGAGGCTATAATTTTTATAGCATATATTTCTAAAATTATGAAACACGTCTGCTAAAATCAGAGTGTCTGTTTTAATATATAGATCGTTTTGACATCCAGACGTTGTCCACACTTGTTGAGCGTCGGTGTGTTCTTCATCAGTAACGCTTGCCCGTTTGAGTGAGCTTTATATACAACGCTTTTTGGGGTGGAAGTTGCGTTTCGTTTTACTTTTCAATAGAGTTCATATACTCATAAGGAAAAATGCCTTTTTGTATAAGCAAACTTTTTTATCAAGTTTACCAATGTGATCAAGTTTGTCTTTTGGACACGCTTTAACAATGGTATCTAACGACGATGCTATAAACAGTTACGAGTCTATAAATCAAAGTTGACCTAAAACTAAATGAGATATTTTCTTCGCTATTTTTTCGCTACATGTAATCAAGTCTGTATAAAGATTGCCTTCAAACGTAGCTGCTCCTTGAATAATGAGATGCGCGTCATAATTTTCTAGGTTTGAAGTATCAGGGGAATCGTCAAGCACTACTTGGAGTTTCGTCAAGCACTACTTGGAGTTGTAAATTGTAATTAGAGCGGGCCGCGCCTCTAAAGACACCCGTTACGTGGCAATGATCTCTGACTTTAGGATTTCTTTGAAAAACGTTTGTTACACACTAAACAATGATCGTCACCTTCTGTCTCACTCAGCTCATCAAACCAACATTCATACTTGTTGTATCAAATAGATTTTTCGCATATCCAACACTTTCTGGCATAATTATATTGTCGTTCTTGTTTGGAGGTGTGTTTCGGGGTTTGCAAAGACATCGTTAATTTTTTCAACTTCTTCCATGAGACTTAGAACAAATATTTGCGGCACATTTGACCCTCGATAAAGTTTTTCAGCAGTTTTTTGCCATCACAACGCATTACCGCGTAATAGAAACCGCAAGCAACATGTTTTTTGTGGTCGAGATTTGTCACTCGTTTTTACTAAGATTGATTCAAAATCAGCAGAAATCACAAATTGTTTGTATCTAAAATTTCTAAAAACTACGGTGGGGGGATTCTTCATATAGTTTTGGTTCTGGCATTTCAACAAAACAAGCAGGACTTCCTTCACCTTTACATTCTTTAAAATGTTTGTCTAAATCAGCTTGTTTATTAAAGTATGAATTGCAACCATCGCAAATATACTTTTACCGTTGTGATTGTTGATTTGTGTCCCAAAAAGTTTTGATTTGTCTTTGTTCCAACAAAAGTAACTTTTAACGACTAGTTTTGAACCTTATGAATCAACAATAACAAATTGTTTCTTCCATGGTATACAGTAGGTTTGCACGAGGATGGCTCACTTTGTTTGCTTCTCTGGGTGCACAATTCTTTGAAAGCTGTAAAATAAAACATGCTCCTTCTTGCTGTTTAATTAACCTTTTTAGGTTCTACCTCAGCAATTTTTGAGCGGCTTTTTGATTGCCTATTTTTTTCTTCTGGTTCACGGTATTCATACCCAAACACGTCGTTTTTTCTTCGCGTATATTATATCCCGGTGTATTTTTAATTTGTTGTAAAACGTTTGAGGAGTATTTACCTAAGGCTGCCCTCAAACACCCTCGTACACATTGTTGGTCTTCAGTTTTTATATTAATCAAAGCTTTTTTTAGCTTTGAAAAATTTATCGAGTTCGATATAACTGCTTCCACCTATATCTCCATACCTAACATTGTTGATTTAAAATGTGTTTATTTCATCTACAATATACCCTGAACCTTATTTTACAACGCTCAATTTGTTCAACACAGTTATCTCTATGTTTAAGCATAATTTGATTAATTCAATTGACACGCGATATAAAGGTGTATCAAGTTTTAAATGTATATTGTAAAGTTTTGCCAAGGTCGTCATCAGGTCCAAGATCTCGATTAAAAAAATCTACAACCATTGTTGATTGAAGTTTAATTTGTCGATTTGAGTTAATCTCTTTCCACACTGATATAATTTTGTCGCGAATGAGTTTGTTGTAATAGTTGTAAAAAGTCATAACATCTGCAGGGATTTGATCTGGTTTATATTCAAAATTTATACTATTATTTTAAAACCTAGCGATTTCTTCTGTAGCGTCTCGATCAAATTTGCCATAGTCTGATTAAGATTTAATCGTACGTATATAATCACATCTTGTAAACCGTCCGTGTCGTTCTGTAGGTGTGACCGTTAAATTTTGCGATTCAACGAGTCGTTTGAGGTGTTCCTTTTTACGTCTCGTGATATTTGTGTAATCTTTGAGGTAATATTGGATAGCTTTAATATAGTCCTTTATAAAATATCGACGCGCATTTGGATTTTTGGAAGGGGGGAAGTTTAATTTGAAATCTTTGATGTATTGCTTGAGACTGTCTTGTGACCACGATCTAAGGTCATCGTTATATATCACTTTATAATATTATTTATAAAATATCTATTTGTTTCAAAGTAATTTTACGTTATCTAATTTAATGTTTTAGCTCCTAAGGATGTAAAGTGTAGGGTAACTCATCAGCTATAATGTCGTCGTCATTGTCTTCGTCGCTGTCGTCGTCACTAAATCCCTCAATGCTTTGAGAGCTGTCTCCTTTGAAATATTTGTCTTCTTTTTCTAAATGAGCCTATGCGCCTTATACTGACGCTCGTTCCACAAGGCCTTGCACCATGCGTTCCATAATGCTTGTTATCTACGCTAATAAATGGTTTAATGCCGCATCGTACATTTTCATATTGATCCAAATTAATTTCTTCATTAAATTTCCATTTATAAACCATCATGGGAGTGGTAATCTCAATGTTTTCAGCCTTCCTTTTTCTAAGTAATTTAATAAACATACTTTTCTGATCTTTTTAATTCAATGAATAAATAGGTTTTATCGTGTCTTCTATCATATTTTGTATTTTTATTCTCGCTCGCTTTATAAGCTGTAGAATTGTAACGATATCTTTTTTTGACTGCGAGGCAATAAATTTGTACGCTTCATAATTAATGTCATCTAAAACGTTTATTTCTTTTTTCGGGTGATAACATATTTGATAACCAGTTATATCTGATGATTTGCACGAGCTTCCAATTTTATAAGTGGACTGAATGCCAAAGCATAATGTTTCGGGCATCGTAATTAAAAGTTTACATTTCTCGTCCTTGTAACAGTAGCGCATAGATAAAAACCAAAACCATTTCTTGTTATGGGTTCTTCTATAACGAGATTCTTTGAATCAAAAGGTCCACATACAGCGTTTGGATCTTTAAAATTTTGATTGAGCAATTCGTGGTCATCAGTTACAATATATGTTTTGGTTGTCATCGTTTTAGTTTTAACTTCATTTAGCAGAAAAATAGGAGAAAACCAGTTTTGTTCGAGATTTTCTTCGCAACAAAGTTGATATACTTTGACCACGACAGCTGTATCTGTGGTAGTGATGAATTTTTCCTTTACAGCTGTTTGATCATTTTGAAACTTTATAGCAAGCTCCGCGCCTATGTTGGCAAAGAACAAATTAAATGATTTTTCAAAACTGTATTTTGAACTATGGTGCACTCTTTTTTGAGTTTTCGATGGAAATAAATCTGAAATGTTATTATTTAGGAAAGCAACCTAATGATGAGCCACGAGTTTGGCCAAAAGAGTACGATGTTGTCGCCCTGTTGATATTAATTGTACCACTTTGATGAAAAGAGCTCCATTGTGCAAGGAGTAAAAAAAACAAGTACTTTAACAAAGCAAGGGTCTACCTTTATTTTCTGTTCTGGAAAACGAAGTTCTTTCACGTCGAATATTGGAGAAAGTTCTCCTGCAACAGCTGAAATGGTATAAACGCAATTTTATAGCCTATAGAAAAGTCACAGTAAGACAAATTTGGGCACAATGGTTATATGAAAGTTAATAAGGCTCTCCTTACAATGAAATTTGCTGCAGTTCATTTGGACATTATGTGATGATAAGATAAAAAATAAGTGATACGGTCAAATATTTTGACTACTTCTGCAAAGATATAATGACAGAAATCTAAGTATACCCAATGCATTCTCATTCTGCAAAGAGGTCTTAGAGGTCTTGTGAAGTCAACGGAATTCAAAAGACATTAATTGTCAAATTTTGAAAACCTTGTGGCACTCCAAATAAAAAAATGTCAATCATAAAAAACCTTTGCTCGGTTTCAGATAACCACTTCAATCATCCAAAACACGGTAGGCATTACCTAAATGTAACACTGAAAAAGAGGCTTCCATATACACCCATCTGTCTGTTTGTGACGTCTTGCGTGGGAATTTTGCAATTGAATAAGGTAGAACTATCATTTTATAAAAATTGCAATGTTCTTACCAGTTTTCTTGATTTCCCGAACGATTCGTTGATTCGTATGCGATAAGGCACGACCCAATTGCGTTACATGCCAGCCACCGTGACTGTTGTCGGAAATGCCATCAATACAACCGATGACCCAAAAGAAATCGCTGAAACCTTCCATTAAATGCTCCAGGGTGAGGGTTGAACTGCTTGTTAATAGAAGCAATGCATCCAAAGTGGTTTCGAACATTGCAGAAAAGTGAGAATGAATTTCTTCTACAGTAACATGATGATCCTCTCGCTTAATTTCAGCTGCAACTTGCGTCTGTTCTAATATGAGTTCAAGCTGTTTAGAAGCATCTTCGGTTTGTTTAATTTCTTTCACACTCTCAGCTTGACCTGGAGTCCCTTTCTCTTGTCTGATAACAGACATTCCCTGCAACAGTTCCGTCTTTTCCTCCTCTGACTCTCCTTGAGAATGAGTCTCTTTCTCTTGTGTGGTACCAATCATCTCCTGGTACGTCATCTTTTGCATATTCAGCAGCTCCTGCTGGGCATCAGCTACTCGCCGTAAGCTATTGATACGACTTTGTTCGTCAGTAGACTTATTTGCTTCTTTTCCTTTTTGTAGACCTACCTGACTCTCCAAGATAAACAGGATAGATTCAGCATACACCAAGACTTCATGAAATAGGTATGACTGGGAGTGATGCTGGAAGCGATATTTCCAGAAAACAGGTTGGTAATAAAGTAAGTCGTCCTGTATTTTTATCAGGTTTGTCAAAGCATTAGCAATCTCAGAGCGAATGTCGTCAGACTTTGACCTGTCCTTGGGTGAAATCGGTCCCTTTTCTTCAGATATACTTAGCAGGTTTTCCTCGCGAAGGAGTTCTCGTTTCAGTGCCACCAGCCTATTTTCTGACCAAAGAGCTCGCATTTTCACATCAAGCACAGTCCCATCGATCTTATTTTTCTGTTCTGAGATAAGAAGCAGACGTTTTTCATCAAGTTCTTGTTTGTGTACAATGAGATCTTTCTGCTCTTCCCATTGGGCAGTCTCTTGGCCTGTTGAATGCCGACTTGGCAATCGCAAGCGCCAGATTCTCTCTTTAAGTTGAGCAGCTCGTGAGCGAATCTGAAAACAAGCATGATACATTTCAAATCAAGTAACACAGTACATCTGATGTTAATTTGAAATTTTGGCTTTGAAACTCAATGAGAAATGCGTGTAATTGAGGCGTGAGCAAGATAAACCACTGCCTCACTCTTTAATTCTTCAACCTTTGTATTGATCAAATACCTTCAATAAAATGAATTTCTCCCAGTCCCTCAGAAAATTCCTGAAGTTAAACATTAAAATTTAGTCTTTGACATATCGGAAGGTTCGTGTTTTTCAAACAATTGTTTAGCCATGCTTCAGTTTTAAAGATTGGCTACGAAAAATATGTTTTTCACGTAGTACAGATATAACTTGAGGTGCTTTTTACTAAGAAACATTTTAGCTATCATATGAAACTACTTTATCCTCTTCTCAACTAACGATTGGTGGGGTACCGGTATTCATCTTTGTTGGGGCATTTTGTTGTATGCGGCTAATATTTTGTTTCCTGTTTGGATTTCTATTAAACGTTTTAAAACCCAGTTTTCATTCACAAGTATAATGCAAAAACTTTACGGCATTGGCCTTGTAGATATGTTGTAGCCCTTCAATTTTAAATTAACGCCCACATTTACAACAATATAGAAATGACACTGGGAAGTGTCATCGTGTAATTGTTTTTCCATATCTTACGGTGTTTGTACCTCGCCAATTTCCAGAGGTGACGGAGTATCCTCCTCCGAAATTGCCCCAGCCGGCAATCTTGTCTGTGAAGAGAAACATCGTTTTTTGACAACTGGAGACCCACAAACTGTGGTTTATTTTGAATAAATGCAACATTGCACATGTAAGCAGGACGTGTGGTTCCAGTCCTACAAGAATAAACTTTTGAGATTTTTTTCATGATCTTCTGACAAGCAGTGAGTAGGCCTACACAGTGAAATACTTCGATGCAAGGGCAAAACTTGTAATTAAGGTACTGTCAACTGGGGGTTAACTTTGGCAGGTTAAAATCCTCATCGTTTCTGCTTTTTATAGAAAAAAAATTCTCTATTGTTGATTGGATGTTTTTGTCATGTGAAACCAAAGGATTAATCTAGTAGTATCAGATATCCATCCACTTCTTTTAATTGTGAGTTAGAGCTTAACTAAGTGCTATCAAAGCTTCCCAGTGCTTTTGAGCAACTTTGACAAGTTCCTGGAATTTAATGAAAAAGAAATTTAAAAAGATAATAGCAAAGTGCACACGTGAAATATTCTTCAGGCTGAGCTTCCAGGTGTGTTTTATGATAAAATCATAGAATCATTTTACAGCATCTTATATCATCCACACAGCGTGTTGCAAAGATATGACAACTAGCTACAAGCTAGAGGTGTGGCTTGTGCCAGCATTACCCCAGCGTGCCAAAGTTTCCCCGATTGACGTTAAATCTTGAAATAGTTCACGATACCCCCTGTTACATTTGACTTTGTGCAAAAAAGGATTATCACACGGTCCACCTCCAAAGCTGTATACAAAAAGCGTACCGAAATAATCCGATGTTTACTTTGGTGTTGGGGCTAGAGCATGCCTTTTAAACAATCGAGATCACAAAAGAAAAACTAAACAAAATTAATCTGATTGAAATATGGGTGATTCACAACACAGTAAGCCACCAGGAGTTTGCCGCAGACAGGCCACTTTTGAAGTTAACGGTCAACACACTGACACAATTATGCGCACTTCTTCTATAACTTGGGGATATTTGATTGATTGAGGCGTTCACTTCACGACACAAAAAAGTTATATTGACTACCTTACACCCATTTGCAATAATGAATTGTCAATAAAGAATTTTCAACAAAGACAAACAGACATTTGTAACAGTTAGCGCATGAGACTTTGTCAGCTATTTATCCCATAATGCGCCGCGAAAAGGCGTCCGACTTCACGACAACCTCTAGGTGGTGCACTACAGGGTGTCCCAGAAAAAAGCCAAACCCTGAGGAAAGGGGTTAATATGCCCAAACCATGAGATATGATTATAATGTATAAGGATCTCCGAAAAGTAGAAGCAGAATTCTTTCTAATGATACCTTGATGGTATCCCTCCCGTCATGGATTGTCTTGAAAGCGGGGCCCATTTCCAAGACAATGGTGTTCAGTCGTGCATGACAGGAGGGATACGATCAAAGAATATTGCTTCTACTTTTCGGAGATGGTTATACATTGTAATCATATCTCATGGTTTGGGCACATTAACCCCTTTCCACAGGGTTTGTTTTTTTCTGGGACGCCCTGTACATTGTGAATCCGTTCACCCGTATTCTCTACCATGGTCAGCGTGGTATAAGCGTTGCTAAGAATGAACCACACGCAACAACAGTTACAAGTTGAGTTGAATTTAATCAAAAGATAGATAAAGTTGAAAATTGTAATTGCGAATTTTGGCGGAAATCAAAACTGAAAACTGGCAATTGTGTTGCTTCTCAGCGGTTTAAGGCACAGACATCGCCATGATGTTTTTTGGGAAGGGGGCTGGGGAAACCAATTCCTCCAAATTTCTAAATTTTCTGGTAAGCACCCACCAGCTAAGATCTGAAAATGATCATTTTTGTGAGAAAACTTAGAACTTAATATCGTGACCCTCCCATCTCTTCTAGTTTCTTCCGCTCCCCCTTTTTTCGTTTATTTATTTGTTTTTTTTTAATTTTATTTTTTCATTCTTTTTTTTGGGGGGGTACGGCTTCTCTGGTTTTAGGTCACATCATGCAGCTATTGGCCGTGGGTCTCAGTTTATATAGGCTACTTCCGTAAATCGTGCTCTTTTGCTAAACAGATGGTAATCGAAACGTATGAAGTGAAACAGGTAACGAAGGATACTCACCTGCCCAGCTTGGGTGGCACCAAATTTACTCCTTTGGGGGGTAAACTGTAGTTGCGAAGGGTCTTCTGAAAAGAGAAAGTTCATGTGAATGCGCTACTGAAGACAAATCGCTGATGCATCAAATTAATAAAAAATGTTGCAATAAACGACGGCCAGGAGTGGGCCATGCCATCGTCATTCTTATCCTCTTCCTCATGGTCATCATAACAATTCAATTACTGGTTTTTAAGCTTAACAGAATACAAAGTAAAGATAACAAAATATTTACAAGTTGACAAGAAGCCCGACAAACTAGAAGAGATTGGCCAAGAGATCAAGATCAATTTATACGGTAAGAAGACGTTTTAATAAATCTGGGCTGGGAGGGGCTGGGAATGGTTGATATAATGAAATATTTTGCAATTAGCCTTATACTCGTTAGCTGATGCAATCTGCAGCATTTACAACACAAAACATTGTGAAAATAATTAAAAGTCTGGGACGGGAGAGGGCCATTCACATACCTGTCACTGATTTCATCGGAGCCCTTTTTGACTTTGCATTCCAAGATGTTTCCGCCATTACGTGACTTCTAAGAAGTATATCAGTTGTACTTAGCTCAAGTACCTAAGTTCAAAACAGATTCAAAGATTAATTTATAAAGCTATACAAGCCGCTCAGTATGACAAAACAAAAAGAACAACATGTATTTGATTTTATTCCAAAGTATCTAGGATACGTGAAATGAAACTTTTCACAAACTCCAGAATTAACACATTATGCTACTGCGTAACAGTCCGTATTATAACCCGATTATTGACACAAATTATACAACTGTCACATTAAGTGAGGATTTGATCCTAAATGATTTCCAATGTTTTTATCCGTAACAGAATGTGAAAGGAGTTGTATCACATTCTCCGTAAACTGACGCTTTCAATTCCTACAAATAGCAAGGTATCTCCAGGGTGGACAAGTTGTTCATCTCTTTGCAGGATATACAAAATTGATAGGATTGACCGAATATTTATGGAAGTGTATCAAGCTGACCTCAAAATGATAAAAGCGTGTTTAATTTTGTAACAAGTCTCATGTGAGATCCCAAATTGATGATTAATTTTGTTCGGTCGTATGATGTTATCTTTATTCCAGTAATTTTCTGCAAAGATTATAAGAGTCTTTTTCTTGAAACGATTGTATACCTGTTTATTTTTTAGGAGAGTTGATTCAAATTTTAAACTTACAAAAATTTGGTACTTGATAATTTCATGTTGCACCTTATTTACACTGGTACATTTAGAATTGAAGTGATTCACTTGGTTTTTTTTCACAGACCCAGTGAATCACTAAATGGGAACACAATGCTGAAAACATGACAATCAAGTTGTGTTTTGCTCATAGTTGGCTTCCTTTAATCAAAACAAATGATGAAATTGAAATTTCTTGTCAAAATTTGTCATTTTAGGCGGTGACGTCGCATACCGTTAACAAGGTTTCGGATGGGCCCCTGATCAAGAGCCTGTCGTTTTCCTCTTACAGCTTGCATTGCAGAAGAGCAAATTTTGTCCTTTGTCGGACTTGCTTGTCAGCCTAATTATTTCCCAATGACTTTTATGGCCCTTTAAGACGAGGTAATGACACTTGTTGGTAATTCTGGCCGCATCTAAGATGCCATTGTCATCAATTAACATGAACTGCTCCCATTCTTTATTTTCTAAGTACTTTTCTAAATGCACCTCTGAAATCTGAGTTTTTCTGCATTCAGATGACCACTGCTCCATCAATCAATATTGTTGGCTAATAAAAGAGTGAGTAGTTAAAAGGGGTAGAAGAAACTGTTGATTGGATTCCACTTGATTAGTTTTCTGTAGGATTCTAGGATCTGAAAGCAGTGTAAATAGGGTTTGTGTGTTTGTTGATATTCCCAAAAAGATCGTGGCAATGAAAAGTAATAAAAAAGTTTGGTTTAATTAGGTTGGATAACACGGGAGGGCTTTTTCCTCCTGGTAACAGTGTATGGTCCGATTAATTTGACTAGAAGGGAAAGCAGAACAACTCAGATTCCCAGAGAAGGGAGATCTCCAATTTTGTGGAGATAACCGTAGACAGCGTTAGCTGATCAATTTAACAATTAAGCCGAAAACTCGCCACTTCATGCCAGAGAGCCATATATGTTGCAAAAGTTCTTAAAATGTGTATGTTTAATTATTTCACATGTATCATGTCAATAATTTCCAGGTATCTGTTTCTATTAATTATATACCACACAGCCAGTGTGTTCTCTTTAGAGGTTACTAACGGTAATTTTTAACCCATGGGGGTGCCTCAAATGACTAGAATGTTCTTATGCACTTTAGAAATTTCTGGGATGCTGTTGGTTTCGTTTACTTTTTTGTGTAATTATATAATTGGTGGGTGTTGCATGATATATAAATTCGTAGTTGAAAAGAAAAAAGAAAATGTGAGACGTCAGCTTTGCTGACGACACATCACCATTTAAAATATTTTATCTATTCATCTATTCATCATTAAACATGGTGCTCCATCATGGCCTAACATGTCCGGCAGATGATTTTGCAGAGTAGAGTTTTCTCCTGTGAGAAACAATCAGCTTGTTTGCACTTCCCTACTTTAAACACATGGAAGCGTAAGTCATAGTTATACTGTTTGTATATGTTGGCACTATATTGGTGGTTGTAAATGGAGATCATTGTGATACGAAGGCCAGGTCACATGCAAATGAGCGAGAATTTCCAATTACTTGGGGAATTCCCCGAGCACGCAACACACATACCGCATAGACACTGGGCGGTGATGGAGAAAACTCGACAATAGAATGTATTAACTATAAGCTATTGGAACACTTGAAAGATTATCAGAAAGGGCAACTCTGAGAGGCGATCAAAAAGGTTGGTATACGCTGCGCAAATAAAATAACTACAAGTTAAAGGTCGCGTCTGAGTATTTTGGCTGCAATGGGAAATAACGCACGAGTCCAGGGTGGTGGCTGCATTCTTTATAATACAGAGCCGCGTGAATTTTAAAGTCGCCGTCAATGTATTCATACGCTGCCAAACAAATTTGCTTCATATGCCGAATCTTATCAGATGCTATGAAAACATCAATTGGAATACGGAACATTTTTCCTGAACAACGGTTTCATACACTAAATATGACCAAACCGCCACCATCCTCTTAACAACTTTGATTCTAATTTTGCACGTACCTTCTGCTTAGGCAATTATTCGATGTTGGCAGCAGCACCGTTGATACTCTTACTATGGCACTGTACCGTCAGTTGCTAACTCAGACGACTAGTGGGTGATACTTCACATTTAACTAAATTACACTAAATCAGCAAAATGTATTTTGGGGAGGTTTGTCCCCTCGGAAAAGGTGGGAGAGAGAGGTAAATCAAACGTCCAAACAAGCTGCACTGTTCCATTCGATTCCAAAGGTATAAACTACACACATATATCTCACCCTGCTTCAAAACAGTTCCGTATGACCCCACCAAAATGCTGGGAATATCTTTCCGCCAGCACAAAGAGTTTGTGACGTCATTACACGACACGTATCGTCTGTCGACATTAGGTACAACACGTATTCTTTGTTATGTAAATATAGCAGGAGTTGCTGCGCCCAAGTGTTTGATCCTCAGTAGGCGAGGTGTTGAATGTGACTGAGAAATGAAAGTTCTCGCGGTTCTGTTGGTTAAGTTCACCTTTTTTCAATAGTTTCGTAACGATAAGAATGACAAAAAAATAAACAAAATCAAACATCGATGTGATTTGGGCGGAATTTTCCACTTTTCTTCCTCATACGGAGGGACCGCTCAGGTATCGTTAATTCAAAGGCCAAGTTAATGAAAGCCGCTTAAGTATGTGATTATCTGTTTTGAGTCCAGTTGTATGCAGACAAAACTTGTAACTTTCTTGGAAGAGAAATGAGCTTTTGTGTAACTCTCTGCTTAACATCAACGAAAGTTCTTCCGTGCTTATGGCTTGGTTTTTGAGAAAGCGCTCTTCATATAATGACATAAAGTCTTGCTGTTTGCTGGCACGTTGAGTGAGTGGTACCCAAGTTTTATTGGAGAAATATATGCTCTTTTATCGTTGCAGCATTATGGCAGTATCCATTACTTCCTCAATTCAAAGAGAAAAAAGATAAAACAAGGAAAACGATAACTCTGAAGGGCCTTACACTATACTTTTCATTTATTTTTCTGAAACTTTGTCAAGTTTTCAATTTTCATGTCATTATTTTGCAGTCACTTTGGCATTTTGTGTTTCATTTGGTATTTAACCCCACTGACAAGATAGCTTTACTGGATTGACGGTTGTACTTGATCAACAGGTTGTCACGGAGTCAGATCTGAAATCAACACTTAGTTGCTGTTTCTCTTGTTTTCATAGAAGGGCACTATTTGGTTTAGGTCACGGTGAAATCGTGTTTGTTTGCTCAAGATTTCCCAATTTCAGTAGCACTATTGCGCCACCCGAAACTCAAAAAGGCTAACGCAATACTAAATGCACAGGTAGCCGAACTGTGTTTCATTTGTTGACAAAGCACAAAATTTATACGACTGCATAAATACACATCGGTCACAAAAATGTAAAGTTAACCATCCACCCGTATACTAGCATACTTACCTGTACATTGCCAACAATCACGTCTGACCCCCACTTCACCCTGCGTGGGTATGCATAGAACTGCCAGTGCAACACTAAAGGGTACTGGCGGTAAAAGAGCCCAGTAGTCCATGGACTTTAGTTTTGTCAACTGCAGAGCTCGCCCTCGCACTGTCAACGGTTGTAGTGAGCACATGGTTTATAAGGGTTTGCCAAAAAGAAGCAGGTTAGACCCAATGAAGAAAATATTATGTATAAGTATGACCCATTTTCTGAGTAGTGTTTGTGATTTGAGGAAGAAATTATAATTTTCCTGCCATTCTTAATAGAAGAAACCCTGGGTTATTTCAACAGTATTTTATCCTACAATTCCTTTGCATTAATGATTCGTTGTCGCAAGTACTCAGGCCAATGAGGACATCTTTTAGTTTTGTTGTAACAGTTTAGGTATACTCCTGCCAAAAAAGATCTCCCTAAGGTGGGCTTTAAAGGAACGTGCTCACTTTTTTCATAACTTATACAGACAATTATGTGTCTGTACGTTATAATATCATAATCAAGAAAGGGTGTCTGGTAGTTATTTCATAGTCTCCATGTGTAAAACAAAATGTACATCACAGCAAAATGCATGAGATGACCCTCACTTAAAGAGACGACATTTCTACGCATAATTAAAGGAACATGGTCACAGATATAGTGTAATGTAATGCTCTAAACGACCGATGTCCTTGACCCTGCTTATGTAGGAGTGGCAAAGTAATTAGCATTTTTGGGGGGTTGTTTTGTTTTGTTTTTTGTTTGCTTTTGTTTTTTGGTTTTTTTTGGGGGGGGGTGTTTGTTTTGTTTGTTTGGTTTTTTTTCTGGTTTCCTTGTCTAGAGGTGGCAAACTATTTAGCAGTTGTTTTCGTTTTTTTTAGTTCCCCTACAGGACAGTTGTTGGTTGTTTTTATTCATAGCTTACATGTAGGGGGAGATCCAGGAGAGTTGAGCCATTTTTTTTTTAGATTTGGCCAATATTTCTCTTTATTTTTACGTTTGGTGGAAATGTTTGTATTCAAATTGTCGTATAACTATTTTGTTACTATATAGTTAGGGTTAAAGCATTTCGAGACGATTGCATATTTATCAATATTTTATTCAAATAAATGTCTCAAGTGGCACAGGTTTCCAGCAAGGTAAGGAGAGTTGAGCATGTCCATAAGGAGAGTTGGTCTATCCCGAGGAGAGTTGTGCCACTGTGAAAATTGTAAGAAGCAAACACATGTTTAGCTTGTTAATGGCCTCACGCAAACTGTACGTGAGAAAGTCATGTGTGGGTCAAGTAGCCAGGAGTTTTCAAATGACACAAATTTTTCAAAAGGTACGTGCCAGGGATGGGCGTTTCTTATGCTAAATGCTAAAACGAATAAGCATCTTTGCAAAATGATTATAAATGTATGAAGGGTTTTTTCAAATTAAGGCAAACACAGTTCTTAAGTGGCACTTTATTCCTGTATGTTGGGGCCTACGCAACATTCTAAATTTTTAAATGCTAAAACGAATAAGCATCTTTGCGAAACGATTATAAATGTATGAAGGTTTTTTTTCAATTTATGGCAAACACAGTTCTTAAGTGGCACTTTATTCCTGTATGTTGGGGCCTACGCAACATTCTAAATTTTTACAAAAACAAAATAACAAAATATTCATGAGAAAAGACAATAACACCTGTCAAACTTCATTGTAAAGTACATTTGCAGGTAATAATATCTTTTTTCTCGAAATGCCAAGTGTCTTTATTTGTG